ATCTCTGTCTTAAGAATGAGAAAACTGAGGTTCAAGTGGGCAAATCATCTGCTCAAAGAGCCATAAATGGAAGCAGGATTTGAACCTAATCTGACCACAAACCATTTTGCTAAATTCCACAAATTAACTTAAATTCCAAAATTTATACTTCAAAGGGTGTGTTGACAGAATTAATGATTCTAGATGGCTGCATTTTCTAACCAACTCAAGATAGCTTTATGTTTGATTATTACAATTCTTGCTGAAAGTCTTTCTTAAAGGCTTAGGCTGAGCACTCAAGTTCACTCTGAGAGATCTGACAAATATAGAAAAAATACATTGTTTTTAGGACACAATGTCAAATTTTAGGGGATCTGAAACTATTTCCCTAATAATAAACTTAATGGAAAGAAGAATGGCATGCAGACATACACAGAGAGTCAAGAGGAGAAAAAAATAAAGTGACTACTTATATGACTAATTAAGTTCCATAAGAAGTTTTATCTAATTTATCTAATTATTTTAGTTTAATCATTTCATTATATTCTATTCAGATAATATTCCAGTCATTCATTTTATTTTCAAACCTAATTTCCTTCTTTTATCTTTTTCAATCTCCCATATGAAAACACAAACTTAATAAATCAACCACTATTTCTCCAGTAGAGTATTTATTATCTGAAATCTGAGATCTGACAATAACCAAAGCTAAGGATGCTTTATGTAGAAAACTGCTTCTTTACCAAGACAGGGCACATGGACACCCAAGATAGCTAGCTGTCCACTGCCCATCCAGGCCCTCTCCCTTCTCTTGGAGACTATTCCTCCCCTCCTCTAACTCCACCTTTGATAACAAGCCAGTTCAGGGGGATGCTATAACTGAACAAAATTGGACCAATTAGAATCCTTCTATGGGGTTTTTATAACTGATTCAGATACACAAAATCCCTTTTGGGGGCAGAAATTATAAACTCTGAAATTCAGGAAACATTTGTTCTCTAACCTATGGAGGAAATCAGAAAGTTACAGGCAAGAATAAGCTAAAATGGGCATAAAAGCACCCAATTGTTCCTGAAGTCCAGGTCCATTCTTGCTCTCAGGGCTTGCTTACCAATTAACTCATCCTTCCATTGTGATGGATGAATTCATAAGTAAATTTCTTCTAGTTTTTAAAAAAGTTTCCCTAAATTCATTGGGCTTTTTATGAGTTGCAACCAAAAAACTTTAACATTAATATTACCTGCTTCAGAATACAATGTTTGTTTTAAGTTCTTAAAATATTTTCAATACAGATGTCTACCTTTACATAGTTAAATAGGTTTTTAAGTACTAATTTCTGAAAGCCCAACTTTACTTTTTAATAAAAATCTTTAACAGCTATCTATTTAAAGAGTCTTGTCTCATAAGTGTCACACTATTAAAATATAAATCTAAGAAGTGAACTGCCTGATCATCTTTAGTTTAATACCAAAAGTAATGAGATAAAATTGTCTTCTTAAACCATCTTTCCTTATGTATCCAATTATATTCTCTGCTTATATACTTACAATAAAAACTGGCAGTGATCCATTCACTGATGGGTGTTTTAAATTAGAAAGCAGTAACATATCAAATAAACCACACAGTTAGGCTTATTCTTCTCATTGAGAATTACCACCACAATCGACTTGAAAATTTCCACCTTAATGGCAAGATTTTACTTTTCAATCTAATAAACTTTGACTTAGAGACTGCAGCACAGTTCAACTACAATCAATTCAACAACCTGATTTCTCCAGGTCTTTCCCTCTACTAAAGATCTTGAAGATTCCTTGAACGCTGCCAGCCATATTTGCAAGATGCCAAAACCTCTGGATGCTCAAGTCCTTTATATAAAATGGAGTGGTATTTGCATGTAGCACAGGCAATCCTCCTGATACTTGAAATCATCTCTAGATTACTTACAAAACAGAATACCAGTGCACATACTATACAAATAACTGTTACACTATCCTGTTTAGGGAATAATAGGGGGAAAAGTCTGTAGTTAGTTATGATTGGTTGTTCTGTACTGGGTGTACTTAATACTGATTTTTGATCCTCGGTTGGCTGAAGCTGAGGATATGGAACATGAGGATGCAAAGGCTCAACTGTATACTATTATTATTCACAGACTATAGATCCTATATAATACTAAGCACCTAGGAGGCCAGGAGACTATAAAAATAGCCCTGATTCTGCAAGCTAGTTAAAAAAAAAAAAACAACTTGGCAATCATCCAGTCCATCCAGCATACTTTACAGATACAAATAGTAATGCAAAAACCATATTGTTAACAAGCCAAGGCCAACAGAAACAGAGAAAGGATTGAGAATACAGATCTAATGAGCATTTACCTTGGTATGCAGAAGATCCCCAAACCCCTTAAAGATGCCTCAGTGAAAAAACAAACATTCAGTTCCCTTCAGTACTCCAAATAAATGGTTATTTCTAATGAACCTTATGACAAACCCAAATGAAATTTAAAAGCATGAGATTGCTATATTCATGACAAATCTTTTCATAAGTGTAGGGAAAGACTTTACTTATAAAGATCTGTTCCTTCTCTGCTGTGTTCTCAAATGCCCCCATTCATATACAATACTATGCCTGCTCCATTTTAATACTGCTGACATATTTACACTCAAACTATAGACTTTGGAGCACACAAGGTCATATGTAAATATTTATCTAATATTAGACTCTGTCACCTAAAGTGAGATCAACCACAAACATTATATATGGCATCTAAAGCTCAGGTTTCATCTTTACATAGACACTAATAAAGATAACAGACATTTATTTTGGGGGGAAGACTGAAATAGATCTCCTTTAGTCCTCTCACAATACTCAGAATAAAGACATTTAGATAAAAAATAAGGGATGTTTTTAGCAGTCTTTGCATAGTGCCTGGTACTATGTACCCAATATACAGCTGTTGAATGAATAACACAGCTATGTGATGGCTATGGGAACTTGACTACTCTGGATGACTAAGAATTGTTAACTTTTCTTGAAAGCAAATGAAAATAATCACAAGATGTCTTATCAACAATCTACAAATCATTTACAAGCCAGAATAGTTTCAAATTATTTCCCATCAGCTAGAAACTCCAAAACAAATATAGCAATTCATAAATTTAAGGTAGCATCAGAAGTAGCTACAGTAAAACATGCATAATTACCGGATTTTCTAATGTAAACTGGAATTCAGATTAGTTCCCAGAGAACACACACTCTTTCAGCAGCACAGTGGTGACACTTCACTAGAGTAAACCCTCAGACACAAACTCTCTCCAGACCAAAACACCAGAACTCCAGGGGAGATAACAGCATTCAACAATGAGCAACTAGCAACATTTTTTAAAGGAACAAGGAATGTAGTTCTTATTTAAAAAACAGAATTAGACATATCTCTAAATTGTAGCCTTATTACATAGGAAAAATTTTACTTGTGTAATAAAACTAGCAGGATTTTGATGCAGTCACGTTTGCTGTTTAGTAATTAGGAATGTGAACCTTTAAAGAAGTTGTCAGGAAGTTAAAATGAACTTCAGTGGATCAAGCATTAGGCTGACAGAAATAATCATTTCCCAGTCTTCTTAGAGCTGTAAGTCCAAGCAAACATAATCAATACTGACAGTGTTTTACCTTTTCCCCAGTTGAGCCTGGGAGAGAAAAATACAAATACGATGCTTTTGAGCCATTTGAAGCATTCATTATACTGAGTGTTCTTTAAAACACCAGCATGATTTTGTCACTTCTCTCATGCTACAAAGGGCAAACAGGGATTCATCGAAATCAAGAGCACGGAAAGCAGGCTTACACTTTCCTCAGATGCTAACAGACTGCAGAGGGTAAGGTCATGGTCAACATTCAGACTCATTTAAAACTTTCATGGCTCAGCCAACAGCTCCGATCATGTTTCCTGATCCTAAGGAGATTAAAACTGCAGGAGTTTCTAGCTGTAAGATCAGCAGGAGGCTATTTCAGACCCTCAAACCGCAGTCCGCATTGCCCGCAGCAGCGCATCTTCACTACCTCTGGCTGAGTGTTAAGCCAACCTTTCTAAACATTCTCCTCCAGCCTTTTAAACAAATCCGCAATCCAGTGCAGTCAACTCAAGACTTCCTTCCACCAGAGATCCCCTCCTGCTATCATCCCAACCCCCTCTCTCAGCCTGCCCTTCCGCAGTTGGACTTTGGCCTGGTTCCCCAAGGTGGGGGAGGAGAGGTGGGGAAGAAGATTCCCCGCCAAGCAGCTCTTCAGCCCCCACAGTGGCAGGGCGGTCTCGCGAGCCAAGCAGAAGATGCTGAACACCACTGCCATATTTTCAGAATTTTTCCTTGCCAAGAAAGATCCCTTGTGTCCAATAATTTTGCCTTCAAAGGGGGGGTGGGGGTGGGGGTGGAGAGCACTACAGTCATGGGCCAAATCTTTCACATCTCCAGTATTCTCACCCCTGTTCAGCGGGGAGAGTCCTGATGATCCTAGTCTCAGACAGGTACACCTGCGGGTCGGCGGCGAACGGGACCATCCCAGCCGCCCCCAGCAGAAGGGAAAGATCACGAGGATTCAGATCCCAGAGCACCCACCAAGTCTGACAGCCCAGAGAAAGCCTTGCACCACACAAACTTCCCAGTTCCCGGGCTGCAGGGGACAGAACTGAGGTGGGTGGAGAGTAAGGGGGGCAGGGGCGGGTGCACGGGCACTGGCTGCAGGGCCCAACTGCGGATGGGACCCCTGGTCCAGCACCCCCGTGCAGGTCCAGAGGGGTCTAAGTAGCTCCCGGGTGGCCCGGAGAGGCGGGCGCGCCCGTCCTGGCTGGGGCGCTGGGACACAGCAGCGGGCGGGCAGTTCCTTCGGGAGTGTAGCAGCTGAGATCCAGGACTCCTCTTGGGCTCTTAGCCCCACAGCAGCGCAGCAGGAGGACGGGAACAAGGAGGAAGAGGAGAAGGAGGAGGAGGAGGAAAAGGACTGCGCGCTGCAGCCCGAGCCCTTACCGAGTGGTTTACCCCCCACATCAGGACGCTGAGCAGCGGATCGCTGGCCCGAAAGAGCTTCACTTTCTGCGCTACGAAGTGCTTCTTCTTGGTCTTGGTCTTGCTCGCCAGGACGGAGGACCCCAGGTTGCCGGGGGTCGCCATGGCCGCCGCCTCAGTCCCCTCCACCAGCGAGCTCCCGAGGCCGGGGACCCGCCCTCTCTACACGCTGGCCCGGGGAGGCAGCTGCATCCCCCCACCCTGGCGGCCCTGGCGCGCGGTGTCCTGTTCCTCCCACCCGCGCGCTGGGCCCCTCTCGGGCCGCTCGATCCGCTCAGCTGGGATCCACAGGGAGGCTGCGCTTGGCTCGCGCCCCTGCCGGGATCCCGCGCCCGCCGCCTCTGGGCACTCAGCCGGCTGCTGGACCAGGCGCGCGGCGAGCGGCTTCCGCGTTGGGCGCTGGCGTCATGACGCAGGGGGCGGGCGGGCAGCAGCCGCGCCACCAGGCGGGGCGCGGGCGCGGCCGCGGGACCGTTAAGCTGCAGCCTCGAGCTCAGGCTCCCGCCGGTCTTCCCAGCGGTAAGGCAGCGTCTGTGAGCCCACGAGGTCTAGGGGACCGCTGGGGCCAGGGGATGAAGTCCAGGGGCGATGTGAGGCGCGCGGCAGTGTGGAGACGCCTCCAGCACATCCTCTCATGTCCCCAGGGGGAAAAAAGGAAATGAGAAAGGGGAGGTCGGGGAAGAGCAGCCCCCTGAAGCTTCTGTGGCTAGACAAGGAAGGAACCTGTGGAAATCTCTCACTGGCACCGGGAGTTAGCTAGTAAGACCTGAAATGACACATGGACCCCTGGGCTTTGCTAGCGTGGAGGGAAGGGACCTGGACCCGTCGTTGATTGACTCCTAGACTGACCATGAAATCAACTTTTTAATTCCTGTGGGCCTTTAATCTCTGAATTTGGGGACCCTGAGCTTGAATCGTCCCACAGTCTGATCTGGCAGGGAAACTCCCACCGAAGATACAAGTTGTCGTTCCCACTGTTAGGATCCTTTGCCCCAGACAGGACCTGCATTCCTCATGGGTTGTGTAGTTCAGTCATTAATTGAGCAAATCAGCTAACACTCTTGAATTTAAGGTTCTTCACGTTAACGAATAGAACTAGTCAGGGACCAATGGCACTTTAGGGACTATTCTGAGCCTGACAATATATGCCCTTTCTACCTCATAGGATGCTTGTTAGAATCCAAATCAGCCTTTCAGTAGTATTGTCTGTGAGCCCATTGTAAGTCACACAATACTATAAGCACACTAGATAAAATATAGAGTGCTGATGACACCTAAACTCTCCCCTATCCTCAGAGAAATGCCTGGGTGAGTATCTGTCAGTTATCCGCAGGGACTGTTAAACCTACTTCAACATCTTCCTCCATCCCACAGTTGCTTCACGTTGAATTATCTTGGCATGACCTACACACATCACTCATTTACCCCAGCTAGTTTATTTGCTTAGTAATTTTTCATTGAAACTGTCTTGAAAACTTAGAACAATTATCAATTGCTTCTCATCAATATTTCACATAAACCCTTTCACCAGGTCCAACCTACTGTTGCAAACAGTTGTGCTCAGATATTATAATACCATTTCTTCCCTCCAGCGTTCACCATCTTAGTTGAAATTAATCCATCCACCCCTGTGGTTCCATATCACTCTATTTGTTTCCTAACAGCTGTGTTATTTTGAACTGTAAATTAATAATTCAAGACAATGGCTTTGTTGTGAATGTTAAAAAATGGAATTTAGTGATGTTAAAGTGCTGATTGACTCTTTAGGGAGGGGAAATGGATACCTGTGGGTGCTGGTTTCATACAGTATAGTGGTGTCCCCCCTCTAAGGGAAGCCCGGTATAGTGTGGGTGTCCTATCTGTAAGGGGCAGGTGGGGGCACACTACTCGTGGAAATGAAAATTCATGTGATATTTTCAGACAGTAATTTTTCCAGCTTTATTAAATATAAATGACATAAAACATTGTATCAGTGTAAGGTATACACTGTGACTTGATACATGTGTATATTGTGTAGTTATTACCACAATAAGGTTAATTAATGCCTCTACCTGCTCACACATTAACATTCATGTGTGTGTGGGGGGGGTAACTTTTAAAATCTACCTTCACTGTCTCATCAGCTTTCAAGTGTATAATACAGTATGTTAAGGGACAGAGTTTTCAGTGACTTAATTTGCTTTGAATTGCATTTAGCTTAATGTTGTGCATGGATAGACATTAAATATTTTTGACCTTTCACAACAGCTTTGTACTCTGTATTGTGTTGTATAGTGCAGGAATACTAGAGTCCCAGACATGACTGCAGAAAGTACTTGAACTAGTTTTTTTTTTTTTAAAGATTTATTTATTTATTCATACAGAACTGGGGTACAGGCCAGAGATGCAGAGGGTGAGAGGATTCACCAGAGACAGAGCAGGGAGCAGAACAGGCAGATCAAGGAAGTACACTGCTGAGGGGAGCAGCAGGTGGGTCAGGAGAGGTCTGCCACGCCATGTGGTCACCTCCAGGGCAGGTGGGGATCGAACTCATGTGGAAGTGGCCTAAGCTTCTTAGTGCTGTGCTTTAACCCGCTGCACCACCAGGGAAGGCCCTTAAACTAGTTCTTAAGTGATCTACATAAGACTTCTGAGATCTAGTGAAATTGAACTGATTATTTGTTGGGAGGCAATAAATAAATTCTTTGAAGGCAGGGTCTATTTTGTAGTCATCCTGTATTATCCCAATGAACCTTACAAATTTCCTTTCCCATAGCACCTATGGCAAACTTTTGGTGCATAAATGGAAGGTAAATTTACATCACTCACAACAAAGTTATACATAAAGATTCTACATCCAGGAAATGTTTGTGTAAGGTTCAGAAATATTTTTAGGTTAGATTAATACAACATTTAAACTTGAGCATTGGTTACATGTGGTTTAGCAACCTAGTAACCTGATAAGTCTTCCTTTGGAATTTGTGTGATAGTGAATAATGAATATGTGCTTAGTTCAGTACTAAACTGCATCAAGAATTGAAGAACCTCAAAACCAGCATTCAACAAGTCTTTTTTTAAGTCAGCTTCCTTTATTTTTTAATTTTTTTATTGTCTCTATGTCAAAAGAATACAGTCTTAATGAGAAACAGGACTAGAGAAAGACAAGGAAGTTCTATGTGGAGGTGGGCAAAGGTCATGTCAGGCAAGAAGGGCACGTCATTTGGCCTGTTGGGCAGCTCGTTCAGGTGTCAAGGCTCTCAGGGAGCCCTGAGGCAGGGAACCCTCAGCGGCCAACTTCACTAAAAAGGAAGGAAGTGTTAGGAAGATTAAAAAATTCTGATACTGCTCAATAACTGCTTACTATTACTGTTGTTTTTTCACTATTCATTTACTGTGATCAACTGTATTTACTATCCTTGAAAAATACGGTGACAGTGTTTTGCTGGCCAAGGTATGCAGTGCCAGAGATAGATGTTGAAGTAGGATAGATACATTTTCATTAAAAAAAAAAAACTTCACCTGAATAGTTCCCACTAGTCTTCTTTGAGAAGGGATTCAGTAACTTCCTTGACTAGCTCTATTGGAAACTCTTATAATTTTCATTGCTTTGAGATTAGAACAAGAAGTAGGACAATTCTACTCAGTCATCTGTAGTGTCACCCATAATCTTACCACTCAAAATAGCAGCATTTTGGAAGACCATAAAGTACATATACAGTTAAAACCAGGAAAAATACAAAAATTGGGATGCAAAAATTAACTTGTGATAATGTGAGTTATTTTGGGGGCGCAAGTTGTTGACATCCTGAGTGCAGTTTGCCTCTTGGGGCTTCTGAGGCTCACCATGTACTGTCTGAACCCTTCCTGGCACTGGTTATGGTTTGGCACCCATTGGTTAGAGTTGTCCACCCAATTGAAAATAGTGACTGTGATTCTTCTGGCTCTGGTGGTTGTCTGGGGTTTCCAGGACAATGGCAACAATTCCAGGAATCTACCAGTTAGTTGGCAGCTATTTTACTGGCCTGACTTGAGGAGGTTGACCTGGGAGAAAACTGGATATAACAGGTGCCAGCTTATAGGGTGACCATTTCCCAGCCTGCCTTACCTTCCTCCCACTCCCCAAGTGGAGAATGAGAACTTTAGCAGTTCTTGGAAGACAGGAAACTGTGTGTAGAAAGGGGTCAACCCCTAATGGCATTATGTCTTTATGATTTGTATATACAAAGTTGTGTATAAATGTGATTTTAATATTGTAAAAATAAAACATATGTAGGTATATATGTATGTCTAAATGACTAAAGGAAAATAGATCATACTATTTAACATTAAAATATAAAGAGGGGTTTGCTTTATGGATTTAAAGCATGGTTCTGTATTTTTATTATTTTTATAATAGGTAATTAAAAAATACAGCCATCTTCCTTGGTTAAATAATGTAGTAATATATTGAACACACTTGGGAAATTCCAATGAAAGAATAACCTTTTAAGTTACATGCTAGGTACTGCATATGATTTCTTTACAGAATTTACAGTATGAGAGGTACAGAGCCTAGCATGTAAACAGATAATCCTTAATTATAATTTGTGTTTAGGGTTCTGAAGGTAATAAATCCAACACTGTAATAGAAAATTGGCAGTGTATTCAAGGAAACCTCTCCAAGAGATACATAAGCCTAAAGAAAAGACACAGTCAGCCGTCAGTGGATGAAAAGTGGCAGCAACAGAGGACCCATCAGTGTGAGTCTGTAACCCAAAGGAGACTTGCCTTGCCAAGGCAGTAGGGTCTGGCCATTAAGAAGCTGTCCAAGATATGAACTTGAAGTGCCATGGAGGCCCTTAGGCATCTGAAGCTTTCTTTATAGAAAGGCAGCCCCTGGTGAAAGATTGACAGAACATAAATGACAATGTTGGAAGATAAATAGGAATCTGGGATAAAGAAAAGAAAATGGTTACACTCATCTACAAGGAGAAGTAGATTTTAATGTGTTTTGGGAGTGGAGAAAGTACAAACTTGGTCTTGCTGCTATGGGATGCATAGTGGAAAATCTTGGTCACTCCTCATTTGTGCTTTTAACTTGTCTGAAATCAAGGGGCACCATACTCTAAGTGCTTACATGAGAAGGTCCCTAAAGAGACTAAAGAGAAACCACACCTAAAGTCGCTTTAGTGGAGGTATATTAAATTCTAAAATATAGCATGTGCTGTACTAAAGAAAACTAGGGAAATAATTGATGTGTATATTGAAGCATATCCAAAGAAGTGTAGCTTGAGATCAGCTTGAGGAATATAATAAGAGCTGTACTGCTGCACCCAATGGTTAAAGGTGGGATGGCAGCCATGGTCTTCACTGCCTTGAGAACCAAAAGGAAGG